CCTTGTTCCAAGTTCCAATCCTTCTCTTGAGGCTTTTATTTGGAGCTTACATAAAAGTTAATATCTCAACAAGACACATGAAATGACAAAAAGTTTATATAAATATTCCTTAAAGACCAGTCAAAATCAGTTGCGCAGGTGGATAAGTACTCCATCATTATATTAGATCAGGTCATTAGACGGCAACTACAGTTCTCCAACTTCAAATTACAGGAATGCTAGCAACCTTCTCTCTAACCTTCTTCTTTGGATCTTCTCCATTTTTTGCTTGACATGTGTCATTCTCCTTACACTTAAAATAATGTAATTAAGATATTATACAAGCTAACTTTTGCTTTCCAAGTTTACCCTTATTAAATGTATTCAATTTATCCAAAAAAAATTCACAACTTTCTTATCATCTTATTAATTTTTTTTTAACTTCAATTATTTTTTTTTATAAAGAAAATGTATGCTTTTTTAAAAAAGAGGATGTCCCTTTTTTTTAATGTCAAATTTAGACCTTTTTTTTCTATCTAAACCCCTTGTGTTAAAAAAAATGGACATTTCCTTTTCTTTTTTTTTAAAAAATTTAATTTAATTTATTTTTAAAAGTAGACATTTTCTTTAAATAAAAAATAATTGATGTAAAAAAAATTAATGAGGTGTAAGAAAGTTGTGAATTTTTTTTGGATAAATTGAATACATTTAATAAGGGTAAATTTGGAAATCAAAAGTTAGCTTGTATAATATATTAATGGCATTGTTTTAAGTGTAAAGAGAATGACACATGTCAAGCAAAAAATGGAGAAGGTCCAAAGGAGAAGGTTAGAGAGAAGGTTGCTAGCATTCCCCCTGAAATATGTGATAAATGAAGGATGAGAGAACATGAGAGATTTTGAACAAAATGAGTTTATGGAACAGTGGTGTGATGCCATGGTAGATAGCCAATAATTGTAGAGAAATGACATCATGTTACTTTCATGGTGCTGACATGATCCACCTGATTTTGCCAAATTCATCAACTTAAAAGGAGACAGCTAAGGTGTGGTACAAATGATTTTTCAAAGGGTCATGCTAGGGATACCAACTTGGGAGACCAACTTGGGATACCAACTCTCTAATAGAGGTGGAGCCCACCAATGCAATGGGTCCCACGCTCTATTAGAGAGTTGGTCTCCCAAATTGGTCTCCCTAGCATTTTCCTTTTTCAAATGGTCCACTGACTGACATAATGCACAAGTAACAGCAAATTCTCAAAGTTTTTGTTAACTAATGAATTATTACTAACCAAATACTTAATTTCATGTCTGCCCAAGCTCAAACATTTTTCAAAACCCTGCAGAGATCTATCCAAGACAAAAGCATCTAAATTTGACTTTTATACAAATTCCATTGTGAAGAGGCAACCTAGCCAGCCAATATGTCATGTCATTATCTTTCCTTGTGTCTTGCATGGCGTATTCTCATTGGAAGGCCACCTTCTAAACAGTGGCACAATGATGGTGTCAAAGCTGCCTCCGCCAACTCTACTTTCTACTTGTTTGCGTGCAGTTGAGAAGCTTCGTGGGATTTCTCAAATAAACTTAATTATAAATTTTATTAAGATATTTAGTCATATACTCATTTTTAATATTAAAATTATAAATAAATCCTATACCAATTAATTTCTATAAACAAACTAAAAAAAACCAAAAAAAGGATAGCTAACTCTATTGAATTTAATTTTGATTATTAAATTACTTTGATGCCGTATTGAGTGTTTTGGGTTTTTTTTTATAAGGTTTTGGGGTTGGGTTTGTTTTAAGAAATCAATGACAGTTCTGTAATTTAAAAGAAGTTAAAAGCTATTTTGTTATATTGTAAATAGGTTTTGGGTGTGTTTCTAAAGTTCATTTTATATAGGATTTTTTAATAATTTGGACTCCTATATTGGGTATAATAGTGAATCTCCCAATTTTATTTCAACGATCCAAACCGTTTTTATTTCAAATCTTCATTCATAGATCACTCGTGTAAAAAAATTAGACAAATTGAAAACCGCTAATATATCTAATTGTGACTTAACAAAATCGATGAATGCAGTCCTTCAAAATGACAATCCTTTAATTGAGTATAGAACTCCATAACTCTGAAATTTGAAGTTTTTTAACACGCACGCAAAATGCCAAGTCTAAAAAGCTCCTTGAGCACTGCACGTATTAAACAAGGACACAAATTTTGGTCAACATAAATGTTCAATCACAATACGAAACCCTGACATGTTGTGTGTGATTAGTTGTTGTGCGATTGGGTGATGACTTGGTTTCACCTAATTGGTTGTAGCTAGCTAGGCTATAGTAGTCAATTTACTAATCAAACTTTTATGGATAGATAGAATCCCACCAAGATTTCCTTTAAAGATGAGATAGAGAGATTAAAAAGCAATTCCATTCTAAACTTGCAAACAAATTATTGGTTGGAGATTTGGAGTTGTTATTTGGCAGATTTGTAGGGGTCCATTATTTCTCTTCCACTGACTTGTTCATTTTCATATCAATTATCTTGTATAGGTCTATCCATAATCCTGACCAAAGAAAAGGTCTATATCTATATCCATATCCATATCCATATCCAATTGGGAGGTTATTGTTCTATGCCTCCTTCCTAGGAAACTGCCTCTATTTTTGACCTAAGGATTGAACAAGGCAACAACTTCTACTTTGTTTCATTCTGTAATTTTTCAAGTGGGCGCCAATCATCTCAATTTAGAATATCATCCACTTTCTCTTGTGGTTGATTTGTTTTTTTATTTTTATTTTTATTTTTATTTTTAGGGTTGATGATTGGCCTACTAATTAAGGTGTTGATGTGACAAGGGGGCATGGAAAAAATGTTTAAGACTTTTTAATTAGATTAATATAACATTTTTCTAATTTCCCATCTTGTGTTCTTGAAAGGTCATTGCCTTCCATTGCCACTCTATACCAAATTAAGCAGCAGTGGAAAGGAGTAGGAAGAGGTTTGCCCTTTATATTAATATCTTCTCAATGCTCAGTTTTTGGGGCTAATTAATTAGTGACCAAATTTATATGGATGAAGGGGCTTATTTGGTTTTTTCTTTTTGACAAATGAAAGGGAGATTGCATTTATAAATGACGCCAAAGAGTTTATATAAAGGTAATTTATGAGAAATTACCAAGAATATATTAATATGAATTTTTCTAGGAAGCTGACCTAGGGATTCAACTATATATTCTATTCTTTTACCAAGAATATTAATATGAACTTTGACATAATTGCCAAATATGACACGAAGTCGGCAGTCTAAATTTCTTAGGGTTTGATTTGAAATATGTGGCCACATAATGACCAACTGTAGGTTTTGTTGCAACTATTACAAGAATAAATAGTATTTATCATCCTCTTGGTTGTCTCTGGCAAGTTAGGTACTCTGCAGGCCACTAATAAAAGTCAATTACTTTGAAAAGTTTTTTTTACACAACCGATGTTGGGGACTCGTTTATTTTCTTACACACACTATTAAAGTATCATGAGAGTTCAAATCTGAGACTACCTGAGACCACTGATCTCAATCTCAGGTTTGTAATGGGGAAAATTACTTCAAGTTTGCAATGGATAATACAGTACTGCACTAAACAAACGGAAGAAAAAGAGATTTTACCCCTTTAATTTACTAATTTTGAGTTTTCAACCAATCGTGATTGCAGTTAAAGCAATTAGTTTTGGATGGGTGAAAAGTGGTTGATGTTTTATGAAGCCTTGCAATGCACCCAAAGAAAGAGTACCAAAAGAGCAATTAACGTAAGTGTTCTTTTTTGTTTTTGGGAAAATAATATAGAAACTTTTACACATTTTCACTATTCCTTGTGTTAGGTCATGGCATTTCAATTTTTTTGGACATACTATAAATTGCATAAAACGACATTTTACAACTTGCAATTTATCTACTCTAGCATAAATACTTTCTTCTTTCTTACCAGACACAGCATTTATAACTTGAACCCTAACTTTCTTGGAAACCTTATTTTGACTATGGGCAATTTAAGGGGACACACTTGGGTTTTGCACTCTATATCTAGGAGGGCCAGGAACAATTTGGAGAGGCTAGAATGAGGAGGTTGAGTGAGGAGGTTATTTGAGGGGGAGCTTCTATAATGAGGAGACTATGTGAGGAGGTTATTTGAGGAGGCTCATCTCACCATCAAAATGGGTGTGGACCCCCTAATGCACCCCCCCCCCCATGTCATTTGTTTTTAGTTGTTGACGGTGAGATTTCACTTCCTCAAATAACCTCCTCACTCAACCTCCTCATTCTAGCCTTTCCGTATTTGAGGAGGTGAAACATGAAAGCTGCCACCTAGTGAGGCCCATAGGCATAAATCATGATTTAGTATGTTGACTTCACCATTTACCTTACAAATTGTCTCAGCCTTATCCATTATGCACTCCTTTTTATTTTGTTCTTTTATTCACATAAACTCAAAGTAATTTCCAAATTTATTCTCAATTATTAATGGCTAAAAAGTAATTTGAAGTTGCCAACTGGATCTATAATAAACGTGTCGGGATAATAAACATGTCAATAATGCTGAACTCAAACCCGACTCATTGGGATCATTCTCTTATTTTAACGTGGGACATTTGGAACATGAAAATCTAAAACGCCTATGCCCCCTATAATTATTCTTCTTTATCAAAAACGTACCTTTCCACTAAAAAAACACGTGTCCTCTCGAATGTTCCTTCTGACCTTCACATATTTACCCAATTGGCCAGTGCAGTTTGCCCTTGAACCAAAGTTGTTCGAATTGTCCTCCCGTAGATTAGAGTAGTTTAGAATGAAGGAAAAGAAAATAAGTCCAATACACTTTATCCTAGTCTAACCCTGGTCTGCTCCACATAGAAGGGAATTGAGAAGCATCCAGCAATGCTTCCCAGCTTCTACTTTAAAGATGGACTCGATCACTATTACAATGTTATATCTTCACATTTTGATTCTATAAAGTGCACAAAACCAATCATAACAACAATCTCCACTATTTCAATATAAAAATCTTTAATTCTTCTACACCAATGTAGTTCAAGTGAAAAGAATGCTGCAGTGAATTAGAAATCGATTAGCAGCACAGAGCCTTTGGTGCAACTACAACATATATGGTACATAAATATATTACAAGATGCAACCCTTATTTAAAAGATCAAATGATACAAGAATGAATCCGCAATTCTTCAACCATAAACTCAAATGATCACTGTGGCATGAAGATGCTGACAATAGCATTCCAGTAGCCAACCAACTGAAGAGAAAAGATTTCAATCAAATCACACAATAGACAATGTCCGGTGAGCAGGCAGAGCCTAAGTTATCAACCAATGAACTGGTGTGTGCGTGTGAAATCACAATGTAGATGTGCACAGAAAAGCCAGTAAAGTAGCCTAACCTGGTCCAGAATGCTTTTTCCAGTTTGAGCTTCAACAACCAAGCCTGCTGTAAGACCAATCATTGCCCATGCACCATTAATTGCTTCTATTTGACGTTTTCTCTGTAATCACAACATTACTTTTAGAAAAAAAATGAATAACTTCTATGTATGATGGGTAATAAGTAAGATTGAATTGTGACATCAATTGACCCCAGTTATCTTGCATTTTGTGATATAAAAGGAAAATAAACAAGAACGAAAACAAGGATTGGGGCCTCATCAAGGAACCAATTTTTTTTTTTTTTTGGTCGAAAAGGAACCAACTCTTGTTTTAAAAGAAATCAAAATTACCTAGGCTAGGGAAGACTGAAATATTTACATAGATACATGAAGAATATGGGTAAGAAATTCAATTTAGAGCTGTTTTAATATTAGTTCCAATCAAAGTAAAAGCAGAAATTTGTCAACTAATAACTGAGGACACAGGAGTTTGTCAGACAAGTCATTTTCATACTCGTTATCTTAACAAAGCATGCAATTCTTTAACCTTGTACTTCTCTTTTGCTTTGATTTCTTCCATTTGCTTGGCAGCCAACCGCTTGGCTTCCAAAGGATCAACCATGATCACTTGATTACTTGAGTCTCTTTTCCTTGAAGAGACCTGTAGCAAAACAAGACACAAATCATGCATCAGAAGAAATAGACAAAAAAATTTCCTTTTTCTTGGGGTGCACGTTAATTACTAATAGAAAGAAGAAATGTAACACTAAAAACCAATTTTTCCCCACTTAGCTTCAATTGGATGATGTGGTAAGGTCAACCATTGACAAACAAAGAAAACGATAAGGTTGTCAACTGCACATCAAATGAAAATTGAAAGATGCAACTTGATTGACTTCTAAATGACTTTGGATGTGAATTTTGCTAAGATTCTGAAAATACTAAGCTATTATATAGTAATGCATAGACAGACTAACTTGTATCAACTCAACATCCTTATTTGCAGCTTGAAGCCACTAAACAGAAATTGATTACTTATATTCAGGAGATGAATTACCAATTGTATTGAACAAGAATGAACATCCTTGTTGGAACCTGCTCAACTTTTAAGGAGGTATAGCAAGCACATTGTGTATTCCTGATGAATGAACGAAGAATTGGTGAAATGCAGCCAACACAAGGTACTTTGGTTATCTTGATGATTGCACTTTAATTTAATTTCTAGAGATTACTTTTTGAACATATTAGAACACTCAAAGGAGAAGAGGAATTTAAGTATCTGCATCAGGCAGCAGTACAACTGTGAAAGATGGAATTGCACTTAAAGTCTTAAACCCCAACCCAGATGCAATCAATATTACCTTCTGAGCAAATATTTTCCTACTGGGGCTTTTGTCTGCACTACTTGATATGAAAGTTTGACAAACTGATGGCTTCATGCATAATTAAGTAACCAAGCAATTAACTATAAAGCATCTAATCTAGAATCTAGACATCCTGCTATCTCAACACTCATTGATTAAACCACCAACTACATACCTAAATAATCTTTGACCATATTCAAACCAAATATATTGGTGTTATACATGTGGAATCCTTGAGTTGATGCATACATTAGGATTGGCCAAAATTTGAAGAGCATGGCCATTGGTTCTGTAAGCAACTACATTTCCACCTTGTTGCCTTTTCCATCCCCACCTGTATAAAATAAAATAAAATAAAATAAAATAAAATTCTAAAATATTGTAAGTGAGAAACAAGCTAAGAAATGTAGCTTTAAAATCCTCAATCATATAAGAACCATCAGTGAACCGATAACTACACTAACTGAGAGTTCTAGGACAGATGGGCATCCAGTGATGGAGAAGACCATCTTATACTCTATCCAATTTGTGTTCATATTTATATTCTTCACTGCAGATCCATGTATCACTACAGAATATAGTGCTCGTCCCAAGCCACATCAAGTGAAGTAAAAAGTCATTAACTGCATAAGGCATAGAAATTTCTTTACTTTTCTTTGACACTCTTTCACCACTAAAAATGCTAAAAAAAGATTCAAAAACTCCCCCAAAAGAACCAAAAGGGCCTGCAAAGTGTAATCTTTCAACTTCATGAGTCCTCCCTCCCTCTTTATCACTCCCTCTCCGTCTCTCTCACTTTCTCATATTGATGTTAACAAGAAGGCTGTAAACACAGGAAAACACTTGGATTAATGCATCTCTAAAGTGCACAACTATTAAACTCAGAAAACCACTCAAAAACTCGGATTAATGCATTTGCACTAAACACCACACTCTTGCAAGTCCACCCAATTTTTCTAAACGTGATAAACTTAAATCACAGGAAAAGATAGTACAGTCTGGGACTAATAAAAATCCTTAAACAGAAAAAAAAAAAAAAAAACTACCATTGTTTGATGTCATGAAAAAGAAAAGGAAGACAGATTGCCCGTTTTCTTTATATGGTTAAGTTCTTTGACACCCGAATACGTGGCTGATGAAAGTTAAAATTTTTCATTTTCAGTTTCTTTTTGTTCTTTTCCCAACGATTTCTTTCAGCAAACAAGTAGAAGAAAAAGAAACATTATCCAGTGGCAAAAAAAATCACCAAATAATACATAAATCTACGTGCTAGCCGTAAATGGTAAAATGGGTATTTGAGATTAAGGATTGCAAACTCCACACAGATTAAAGTTCTCTTTTGTTTTTTTCATTTACTCAACAGCCAAACATAAAGTGAATAGAAATTAAGAAACGAGCAGATTATTCAACACACTAGAGCAAATATAGAATTGGGTTGGTGCGTTTAATCCTTAAAACAAAAAAATTTCATATTTTCTTTTACAAGAAATCACTCGGCAGAGGGCAGAGAGGTGAAGAAAAACTGAGAATTGGAGTGAAAAGGGAAATGGTTTGGGAAGATAAAGGATGGGACTTACTTGTAGAGAGTTGCAGAAGGATGGTAATTGGGAAAGGATGAGCCTTGAGTGAAGAGAAGGTGGCCTCCATTGATAGGTAGCAGAGATGTGGACGACATCTTCAGCTCTTTCTTACGTGTTCTTTTCTTCTCTACCGATTTCGGTTTAGCAATTTATATTCACAATTTGACCAAAAAAAGAAAATTTATATTCACAATTTTAATTTTTTTAAAGAGTAATTTTCACTTTTACCCCTTAACTTTCTCATTGCGAAACTTTTAAATTGGGGTGCGAAAATCCCTCAAAATAAAAACTTGGGGTGCGAAAAAGAAAAACTTTTAAATTGGAGTGCAAGGTTCAGCGGGTTAGAAGTTCAACTCAACAACAACTCACAAATTGTTTGGACCAAAATTAGCACATTCTAATTTCTACAGTCAATGAGCCAATTTCATGGTCAGTTGACTAAAAGCCCAACTGTCAAAGCCAGCTTAGATGGCTACAACCCAACAATGGTATGTCCAAGGCCCAAAAGCCCATCGGGCATAACCTATTTTTAACAACAAACATTGACCAACACTTGGTCAACTAGAAAAGACAAAGATTAATGAGTATGTCTCATACAGATTGCAAAATTAAGTGATGTTTATAACCAAATTAAATGGTTGTTAAAAACAGATAATGATTGAATCCCCCAAAATATCCAGTTTATTCTTACTCCAATCTCATAAATTAACAACAAATGTTAATTTACGAAATAAGTTCTTGAAGAAGAAATTAAAATGATACCTAGCACATGGCGCTTCATAATTGATTCCAGAAAATGAAATAATCGGAGTAAAATAAACAAGGGCCAAAAGCATGTTTATTTAAAAAGCCTTAATTATCTCAAAAGTCAGATATCAGAGAAAGGGCTAGACAACCGCATTAAATGCGATTTGAACCGTGAGGCTCAGCCGCATCAACTTATTAGAGAAAGCTCAATCACGAGGATTAAAGAAGAAATCAAGGGTCTATCAAATTCACATGCAGAGAAGAAACTGGTACATAGTCGGAGCATTTCTTTACCAAACATGCAAAGCCAAAGAGCCAATTTCTCTCAAGAACAAACAATTTATTTGAACAACCTTCAAATACTCTCGACTCAAACATCTTGTCAAAGCGTCTCACAGTAAAAAAAGAGCCCACCAAGTTTCACATAAAAAAAAAAGCAGTTAAGTTGATAGTTAATGGATGGAGAGGTCAAAAGTGTGACATTTATAACATGAATGACATCTAAACCACAACACTTCAAAGTATAAGTTCCATCACGTGTGATGCACGTGATCCAATTTTAGGGGCGTTTTTGTCAAACCAACATCTTCCCCTCTCTCTCCCCTCGTCTCCCTGTCTTCCTCCTCTTTGTTTCTCTTACTCTATGTTAGTATGAAATTTGTATTGTCATTTCCTAGACCTCTAGCATAGTTTGAAAACTAGTGTGTGAAGAATTGTTACTGGACGTTTTGGCACAACTCATTCAACCACATACTTCCGAAGCACGACTTGACCATATGAGAAACTTGACAACACGTAAATCATGACATAATCATGCATTCATTATAGGATTCCTAGTTGGAATCCTATTCACTCAAGTATTTTTATGTTTATCCTATTTTTAATAGGATTAGATTTTATATCTCTTGAGATTCTTTCCTAGTTGGACTCTATTTTAATTTAAGTTAAAATATTATTGTTTTCATCATCTTTGACTTGGGGAGAACTTTTAATTAATACCTAATTGGTCACTTTGATAAAGGTTGTTATCTTGAATAACAATCCTTGCCTAAGCTGACGAATGGAATAGGATTAGGGGTCTCCTTGTTATTTGACGTCTTTTACC